GGTCAGAGCCTGGGGGGTGGAATCCTTGGGATTGAGGGGATGGGAATGGGGATGGAACATCCTTGGGTTGAGGAGCAACAGGGAGAGCCCAAGGGATCAAACCCTTGGGGTGGAGGTGGGTGGGGAGAGAAGGTCAGAGCCTGGGGGGTCAAATCCCTGGTCTTGGGGTGGAGGGGAAGGATCATCCTTGGGTTGAGGAGCAGCAGGGAGAGTCCAGGGGATCAAATCCTGGGGATTGAGGGGATGGGAAGAGAAGGTCAGAGCCTGGGGGATCAAATCCCTGGGCTGGGATTGTGGGGAGAGAAGGTCAGAGCCTGGGGGGTCCAAGTGCTTGGGGTGGAGGGGATGGGAATGGGGATGGAACATCCTTGGGTTGAGGAGCAACAGGGGAAGAAGGTCAGAGCCTGGGGGGTCAAATCCTGGGGGTGGAGGTGGGTGGAGAAGGGGAGGGATCATCCTTGGGTTGAGGAGCAGCAGGAAGAGCCCAAGGGATCAAACCCTTGGGGAGGAGGTGGGTGGGAAGAGAAGGTCAGAGCCTGGGGGGCCAAATCCCTGGTCTTGGAGTGGAGGGGAAGGATCATCCTTGGGTTGAGGAGCAGCAGGGAGAGAAGGTCAGAGCCTGGAGAGGAAAAACTTGGTTTGGGGGTGGGGAGAAAAGGTCAGAGCCTGGGGGGTGGAATCCTTGGGGTGGAGGGGAAGGATCATCCATGGGTTGAGGAGGAACAGGGGGAGAAGGTCAGAGCCTGGGAGATCAAATCCCTGGTCTGGGAACGTGGGGGGAGAAGGTCAGAGCCTGGGGGATTAAATCCCTGGTCTTGGGGTGGAGGGGATGGATCATCCTTGGGTTGAGGAGCAGCAGAGAGAGCCCAGGGGGTCAAACCCTTGGGATTGAGGGGATGGGAATGGGGATGGAACATCTTTGGGTTGAGGAGCAACAGGGAGAGCCCAAGGGATCAAACCCTTGGGGTGGAGGTGGGTGGGGAGAGAAGGTCAGAGCCTGGGGGGTCAAATCCCTGGTCTTGGGGTGGAGGGGAAGGATCATCCTTGGGTTGAGGAGCAACAGGGAGAGTCCAGGGGATCAAATCCTGGGGATTGAGGGGATGGGAAGAGAAGGTCAGAGCCTGGGGGATCAAATCCCTGGTCTGGGATTGTGGGGGGAGAAGGTCAGAGCCTGGGGGGTGGAATCCTTGGGGTGGGAATGTGGGGGGAGAAGGTCAGAGCCTGGGGGGTGGAATCCTTGGGGTGGAGGGGAAGGATCATCCATGGGTTGAGGAGGAACAGGGGGAGAAGGTCGGAGCCTGGGAGATCAAATCCCTGGTCTGGGAACATGGGGAGAGAAGGTCAGAGCCTGGGGGGTGGAATCCTTGGGGTGGAGGGGAAGGATCATCCATGGGTTGAGGAGGAACAGGGGGAGAAGGTC